GGGCTGGGGCTGGGGCTGGGGCTGGGGCAGGTGCTGCACAGCCGGGGCGAGGCATTGGATGGGGTGCCCAACTCCTGCTGCTCCATGCATTCTGGGAATGCATGGGGGGCATGTGCCCCCAGATCTGCATGTAGGATGAGGGCGGACTGCCACTGCGGGCTGGGGCGGGGGTGGCGCCAGGCTCTTCCCGGCATGGGGCTGGACCAGTCTGAGTGGCCAAGGCCCCAGTCGTGAGGGAGGGAGCGTGGCACAGTCAGGAGCAGAGGCTGGGCTGAGTGGGGCCCTGGCCAGGCTGGGCAGTGGGAAAAGTGGAAGCCCAGGATGCTCCCCACCAATCTGTGTGCAGGGTGGAGGCAGCTGCCACTGCACACTGCACTTTGCTCCCTGCTGCAGCTGCCCTGGGAGCGGCTCTCGGAGCAGTGGGGCTCAAAGCACAGCGGCAGCCACTTCCACCCCATGCACAGATCGGGGGGCCACATGCCCCCCCGGGCCTCTGCTTGTCCCACTACCCAGCCGGACCGGGACCCCACTCACCCAAGCCTCTGCTCCTGCCTGTGCCCCGCTCCCTCCCTCACTGCTGGGGCCTCAATCTGTGCCCCTGCCCTCGGCCCTTTCCTATCCCCCTGCCCCTTCCCCCACAGAGTTACCTGCTTGGGGGGGTGGGGCGCACCTATGCCAATCACATAAGAGTGAATTTACCTCACATATAATGAATTTTGGATATAAAAAGGGTCATTACATAAGAGTGAATTTGCGCATACAGAACCCTCATAAAGCAAGGGAAACTTGTATTTTATTAGTGTTGTTTTACAACATTGTAGAGAAATGTAGCAAATATGAATGAAACATTAGAGGAAATGAAACTATACCATTTGTCCAAGTATTGCCTCACAGAGGCCTACAGTAAAAGCTCTGTTATCTGACATCCCCCGGGAATGGGGGATCCCGGATAACAAAATATGCCAATTAATTGAGCAGACCCGGCCCTTCTCCTACCACACCTGGGCCGTCCCTCCTCCCCTCCTGCAGCATCGCCGCCCCTCCCACGGGCCCTGTGGGCCCCACGGGACAGGGAGGCAGGCCCCATACAGCCTGTAATGCCCCCGGGCCGTGGGGGCTTGGCAGCACAGGCTGCTTTGCCCTGGGCCATGGGGGCTCAGAGAAACCGGAAGTGCCGTGGTGGGCGCTTCCAGTTTCACTTTATCTTACAAGCTGACGTGCTAATTAGTAGATCATGCTTGTTTGTAAGACGCCAGTTAACAGAACTTTTACTGTACCTACAGTTATGAGAAGAAAATGTAGAGGAATTATTTAAGATGGTTCACCAGATATGTCTAAGCATAATGGACCAGAACTTGGCCTTAATACAGTAATGAGAATAGCTTTCTGACTGAGATGTATCAGAATAGTCTGTCAGCAGACATGATAGAAGTACCATTCCTTGAAAATGTGGATCTGGATTAGACTTAACTGTTAGACAACTTAGAGAGCAGTCTTGCATTGGCTGTCAGGCAAGTCTCCTAATCATTCTTTTCTGTTTCTAACTTCTCTGATTTTTGTCAGAATTACAGCCTGTAGAATTACAGCAAATTCTAAAAAACATTGAGATACTTTATGTGTAACAGCTGATCACAGAATAACCTTTTCCAGGGTTACCTTGACAAACTTCACAATGAAATTAGTAGAACCCTGGAGAAGGTCAGCAGTCGCGAAAAATACATCAACAATCAGCTGGAGCATTTGGTTCAAGAGTATCGTGTGGCACAAGCCCAGCTGAGTGAGGTAATGCACTGACCCATTGCTGTTGCTTTCTGTAGTGCTGGTTCACCCACAGAAGTTAAGTGCAATAAACAGCGTTCAAGAAACTTTCTGCTGTCACGGTGAAGGGAAGATAAAAACAGCAAAATATTTTGGCAATTACTTATATTTAGTAAATGAGGTTAATCCGAGGTGTAATTATTGCTAGTTGAAAACTTTCCCTAAATATGTGAATTGGTTGCAAGACTTGGGATGCTGGTAAGTTCTGCTCTTGAAAGTCCAGGTTATCATGATACAGTGGTAGATCTGGAACCTGGATTCATTTTTTAACTCAGTTAATGACATCCTGTGTGGATTAAATAAAGTTCCACTGAACTTTGTGCCTCCATTCCCTGTTTGAAATGTTCCTTATCTCACAGGTTTTAGTGCTGATAAACTTTCTTAATTCTTATGAGCCTCTTAGTTACTGTGGCAAGGTGACTGCCTGTGTCCTTAGCTAGTGAGCATTTTTGCTTTACCTACTTATTTGATCAGTCCTCTTAGAACAGGGGTTTCAAACATGCAGCCCTGCCATCTAGCCCCTGGTGCTGCCCCGGGTCTGATCAGACCCACATGGGGTATTGTATGCAGTGGCGATGTGTAGGGGGTGCATGGGCACTCCCTGAAAGTGCTGGTGCAATCTCTGTCAAGCCGTGCTCCCTGTTTAGGTGACAGGCGGGGGGCAGGTGAGAGCACCAGTGCCCCCTCTGTGAACACTGGCTGGAGAGTGGAGCCGCCAGCAAAAGCAGCCGCGTTGCTTCCGGAAGTGGCCATGGGACTTCTGGAAGTGGCATGGCTGATTTTGGTGTGTGAGATCGGCCATGGGACGTGCCCCACCTGACTCAAGAGACACCAGGTTTGTGTGCGCTTGTAGTCTGGGGCCAGTCCGAACCTGGCCCAGGACCCCCTTCCCCCCCGCCCCCCAGTATACCTGATCCAGCGCCTGTGCTAACTAGTTTGGGATCTGTGCTGCATGTGGTACAGATTCCAAAGGGTTAAGAGGCTGAGGGAACTGAGCTTATTTAGTTTGGAGAAGAGAAGACAGAGGGGATTTAATAGCACGTTTAATTACCTGAAGGGGGTGTTCAAGAAAGGATGGAGCTAGACTGTTCTCAGTGGGGGCAGATGACAGAACAAGGAGCAATGGTCTCAAGTTGTAGCAAGGGACATTTAGGTTAGATATTAGGAAGAATTTTCTCACTGGAGGGTAGTAAAACACTGGAACAGATTACCCAAAGATGTGGTGGAATCTCCATCCTTGGAGGTTTTCAAGACCTGGCTAGACAAAGCTTTGGTGGGGATGATCTAGTTGAGGCTTTGAGTAGGAGGTTGCATTAGATGACCTCCCAAGGTCCTTTCCAACCCTAGTTTTCTATGATTCTATGATATGGTGTAGTCTGGCTGAAGCAGCATCAGCGCTGCATGCAGTGGCCACCTTGGCTGGACTGCACTGTATGCGGGACCCACTTCAGCTGGTCCCAGACTGGCTGGTCCCAGACTGGCTGGAGCAGGCATCACATGTGGCACAGTCCCAGAGCTGCCACGGTGGACTGTATTCAGTCCAGTCTGGCCAAGGCAGCTGCTGTGTGCAGCTTGCCTGGACTGTGTCTCAAGTGGTGTCTATTCACTCTGCTTTGGGATCTGAGCCACACACAGAGTGGATCCCAGACAGCTGGAGCAGACACTGAATTAGGGACAGGAGGGGAGTGAATCAGTCCCACGACATTCATCTGGCCTGTGTGCATGAAAATTTTCCACTTCCTTGCTTATTTTTAAACCCAGAAAGAAATATTCCTATTTGGTATGTAACCTAGGCCATTTCTATGCACCTCATTTCACAGGCAAACTCTGTTTGATGGACTTGATGACAGTGCTTATTGCTAACACATGAGGATCTCTCTTGATTTTTTCCCTGTTTTTCAGGCAATTAATGATTGTGATTACTGTTTCAAATAGAATATTTTAAGTAAAATAGCTTTTCAAGCTAATTTGAAAACTGTTCTGTGAATGGAGTGACAAAATACCAGCACTTTTCCTTATACTCACCTTTAGAAAACAGCAGTTTTCATTTTCTAATTATATAATAAAGTATATAAGAGCCACAGGCCTTGGGGCCAGGACTCTTGTGTTTCATTCTAGTTCTGACAACTCCCCCCTCCCTCTATACCCCAGGTGCCTTGGTAAGCGATTGGGTATTTTTCTGCTTTCACCTGCAAGTGACTAATGATACTAGCTTCCTTCATGCAGCTGTGGTTAATTAAGATGCTTCAAGATTCTTGTGAGATTTCTGATCTATGAAGCACTGGTAGCCTGAATTGGGACTTTTTTCTTGGGTTGGACTTCCTGGTATTGGGACCTAAACAAGCATATTCTCTAAGCTGTATGTTGGCTTCTTTTCTGCTTTTCTAGGCCAAGGAGAAATACCAGCAGGGAAGTGGAGGAGTAACCGAAAGGACTAGAATTCTTTCTGAGGTACAGTATATTTTCACGTAC